TGACTGATATTTGTAGAATGCAAACAAACATGATTAAATGTATAAGCATATGCACATTTACACAGTTACATGAGCTAAATATAACTTCAATGCTACATGTACATGTAGCTACATAAACTACATATTTAAAAAAAAACCAAAAATAAATTAAAACTTTCATAAGTTTAGTACTGTAGATGACTTATAATAAATTTTACAAATTTTCTGCATCATGCATTGTTAGAACATGCTCATAATTATTTTACAAAACTTTTTATCTGTGAATTCCTAACAGAAACTATTTTATACTTGCAAAATATAAGTGTCTTTAGTAAGTAACTATAATTTACATAAAGACTTACCAGGAAGATTAGCACATGTATTTTGCTGTATATTTAGGTTATTGTGTGTAGAAGTGTCAGCTACATGAAAGAAAATATAATTTACATGACAAATAATATTTTTTTAATTGCCTTACAGCACTTGAGTGATATACTATTAGAGTAGGAGCAACTAGTCACTGAAGTGTTGGGACAATTGTTGTGCTCTTTAAAACACAAATCATTTGCTGTACTATACATGTTAGAAGCCCAAAAAGGCAAACTGTCATTTGAATCACTAAATAATAAATTTATACAATAATCATTAATGAACAAATTATAATCATATACAATGAAAGATGGAAGAATGAGAATGAATCGTATCCCAGTTGCTTGCAGATAGTGTTGGCATCAGTAGAGTCAAACCCATCACTGCATATTGTCCCCCATTGTCCATTACAATAAACCTCAACACGTCCTTCATTAGTATAATCCCCATCTTGAAGACGTACCATACCATCATATAGATTACTGTTCCAGATTCTAGTGGTATCTATAATATTACTGATGAATAAAATCTAATACAAATAATATCTTACAGCAGTATACAGTAGCATCATAACTGTTGCTATTAACACAACCATAGTCAATGTAAGTAGAGTAGGTACATTGAGCAATAGATAAATAGCTGCTACTGGCACAGTTAACATCATCCCATTTCATAGAAAGATAATCTGTACCATAACTACAAAAAAAATTAATATTATCATTAATAAAAAATACCTTGTTAATCCAGCTCTAGAGAAGCTTGAAGCTCCAGTGTATCCCAACTGATGACAAATGACATTAGCTTCGGCTGAATTATAATTGTAGTCATCACAAATGTTACCCCATCCATTATAATAGACTCTAATTGTTCCATAGTAATAAGTGGTTGAAGACACATTATTATGAGATAGAATAATAGTTCCAGCAGCAGCTTCAGCTAATTAATTAAAGATAGGTATAATACTATGATTGTAGTAAAATTTTCTCACAATAGTATTGACTGCAAGTTGAAGCAGTCACAGTTTGTCTTGTCAACGTAGACTCTTCACCTAAAATAAAAAAGTACGATATAAAAAGTGTGTTATGCATTCCACTAGACTTATGAACAAACTAAATTCAAATTGAAAGATTAAAAATATGTACTAATAGAAACAGAAATTAATTTCATGAAAAAAATGAAAATATGCAACAAATGGGAGATCAAACCATCAAAAAAACTGGTATAAAGTGTGGCTAGCATGGTTCATTATAGACTTACTGTGTATTTCAAGTAAATTTAAAATTTTTAGAAGCTTGATAATAATTATATAATTTTAAAAATAATACTTTTGATTTTTAAAAAACAAGACTTATTATTGTAGGGGAGCAAATTCCTTCTCCCATCCCTCCAGACCCCTTAATGCACCCTTGATTTATACTAGCATTTCTCAAAATGTATTACACAAAATATTTTAATAAGAACAGATGTAGATCTAGTTTTCCACTATAAAAATTATTAAATATTTACCACATTTGACTGCAACTGCATTTTTACAATTTGACACCAAGGAAACTGGACAAGTACCAGTTACAGAAAAGCATACATCAGTGGGTAAATTAGGAACAGAGCGACTCCATACTGTTGAATTAATAGAATTCTCATGCCTACAAAAAAGGAAAAGTATAACTAAGTAAAATCCCTGGCTTTTATTCAATTTTAGCATACAATGAAAAATTATTAAAACTGAATGATGCATCATATCCCAGCTGCTTGCAGATAGTGTTAGCATTATTTGAGTCAAACCCATCACTGCATATTGTCCCCCACTGTCCATTACAATAAACCTCAACACGTCCTTCATTAGAATAAGCTCCATCTTGAAGACATGCCATACCAGCATATAGATTACTGTTCCAAATTCTTGTAGTATCTGTAATAATACTGATAAATATAGCAATAATATTATCTTACAGCAGTATACAGTAGCATCATAACTGTTACTGTTAACACAACCACTGTCAATGTAAGTAGAGTAGGTACATTGAGCAATAGATAAATAGCTGCTACTGGCACAGTTAACATCATCCCATTTCATAAAAAGATAGTCTGTACCATAACTAAAAAACAATAGTAACTATAGCTACAAGTAACAAACACACCTGACACGACCAGCTCTAGAGTAGCTTGAAGCTCCAGTATATCCCATTAACTGATGACAAATGACATTAGCTTCAGCTGAATTATAATAGTAGTCATCACATATGTTACCCCATCCATTATGATAGACTCTAATTGTTCCATAGTAATAAGTAGTCGATGATATATTGCTACGAGACAAAACAATAGCTCCATTAATAGCATCAGGCACACCATCTAGAAATGAAATTGATTAAAAATCACTAAGTTGTAGGGGTATTGGGCTAACTGTGCATTGATACTGTTATGAAGCAATAGAGGCTGCTGTATGCTTGCCCAGGGCTGTCAACTAATTAATGTCTCACACATAATTATCACTTCACACATTGTACTCAAATCTGATTGGACACTAGACATGCTACCATGCTTTTCTCTCATTCTAGAACATTCTGATTGTATGGATATATATATATATATATATATATATGAGAGTAGAGAGAAAGTAGAAAGTTGCCATTTTTGACAAGATAGTTTCAATTTTTAAAAGAATGTAGTCAACCTCTCGGCTACGCAACAGATACAATATACATATAAAATAAATTAAAATTAAAATTATCTATAGATCTAGTAAGGGAAAATCAGCTAATGAGCAACTACAGCATGCTCTAGTATTGGTGGATTGTTATTACCTTAAAGAAAGTTATTTTTAAGTAGACAAATATTTACCATTTGCTAATGGTATTGATTTAGCAACAGTTAACTGTAATAATATCAAATACATGTACAAGTACCAATATCATATTCATATTACATTAATCTAATTGACTAACCCAATACTTGTGAGCATGATGCTTATGTGTTGGTCACAACAGAAAATGAAGAAGTGTCACCTACAACAAACACAAAATAATCCATCAAGAGTAGTTAACAAAGCATAAATGCACAATAAAATTACTGTAAAAATTACATACTGCATATCAAAAATAAATCGTTAAGATGAGAGCAGTTAGTGATTGAATTCATTGGACATCTATTGCTTGACCCATAGCACACATCATAAGATGTACTGTACATACTGTCACTCCATGTAGGCTGACTAGAGTTACTAGGTCTATAAAAGTGACATAAACGACTGATAATCAAAAATAAATTGCTCACACTGTGGAAAAAGTTGAATAGTTCTTAAAACCTAGTTGCTTGCAAAGCATAGTAGCATCATAGCTATCAACCCCATCATCACTGCATATTGTCTCCCACTGTCCATTACAATAAACTTCAACACGTCCTTCATTAGAATAATCACCATCTTGAAGACGTATCATACCAGAGAATGGATTACTATCTCAGATCCTAGTGGTATCTATAAGTTTGCATAAAAAACAATGTAAAAAACAAGTATCTTACAGCAATATACAGTAGCATCATAACTGTTACTATTGACACAACCACTGTCAATGTAAGTAGAGTAGGAACACTGAAAGATAGAAAGATAGTCACTATCACCACAGTTGACATCATCCCATTTCATTCGAAGATAGTCTGTACCATAACTACAGTAAAAGGAATGATTTCATTACATCACCAACTGTTTTAATGTACTTGGTTAGTCCAGCTCTAGAGTAGCTTGAAGCTCCAGTGTATCCCAACTGATGACAAATGACATTAGCTTCAGCTGAATCAAAATAGTAGTCATCACATATATTACCCCATCCATTATCATACACTCTAACAGTTCCATAGTAATAAGAGGCTGATGATGTATTATTACGAGAAAGTATGATTGTTCCATTTGTAGCATGAAGCAAGTCTAAAGTAATAAAATGTATAAATAATGGTTTACATGTCAATATGGTCAATTGCTAGAAAGTAATAGTATTATTTTACTATAACTATATTTTTTAAATCATGTAAAACAACATAAAAAATAATACTATAATTCTGACAAGCTGATCAAATTTGATCCCATTTCATGATCATAAGTTATTCACAGTCTATCATGCAGTGTTTGGTTGAGTTACTCATATGGTGCATACTCTACATATAGTATCATATTTGCATTGACTTGTGTAGCAATAAACATTAATTTTGTCTCACAAACAAAACTATAGGTGACAGTGACTGATATTTGTAGAATGCAAACAAACATGATTAAATGTATAAGCATATGCACATTTACACAGTTACATGAGCTAAATATAACTTCAATGCTACATGTACATGTAGCTACATAAACTACATATTTAAAAAAAAACCAAAAATAAATTAAAACTTTCATAAGTTTAGTACTGTAGATGACTTATAATAAATTTTACAAATTTTCTGCATCATGCATTGTTAGAACATGCTCATAATTATTTTACAAAACTTTTTATCTGTGAATTCCTAACAGAAACTATTTTATACTTGCAAAATATAAGTGTCTTTAGTAAGTAACTATAATTTACATAAAGACTTACCAGGAAGATTAGCACATGTA